CTTGGGAGTGAGTTATATGCTTTGTTCACTTTTAAAGCTGGAGCAAATAAGCCTGCTAAGGCTCAGACTGAATAAATAATACTGAACAGAAACTTAAGGATCAGGACGTCCATTGAAAAACCTTAGAGTCTTTAGCTGGCTTGTTGCAGACTCCCATATATCTAAAAGAGGCAGAGTGTCATGAGCGTTCAAGGGGAAGAAAACAGCCGAGCATAGAATCTCAAATTTTAATTAAGAAAATCTGACAATGTTAAACAAGATGCAGCTGCAAGGGGGATACGATTTGTGTGCATTTTTAGCTCTGCTTTTGGAAGTCTCAGAGCAGAATAGAGAAAATTGTCACAAATCTTGTTTTCTGAGAAACCAGTTATATCAACATTACTCCATGCCACTGAGGCAGCCAGCACGCCAAAAAGAACGTGGAAAGGAAGGACTGCAAATCAGTGTAGAATTAAGCCAGTCATTATTGCGTTTGTAATCATTTCCAAGAATTGTTTCTACCCAAATATTAAACGGAAAATAAGAGCTTACTCTAGCATGGGAAATTTTCCATTTTATTTTTCTCCTTTTCTTCGCTCACTAATGACTTATATTAATAAACCCACTAGTGATTTTTATTAATAAACCACTAATAGTTTTAAACAAGGTGCTTCTATGCTGAGATGAAAAGCAAGGCCAGTTTAAGAGTATTTTGGAGATTATTCTTAAAACAGGAACATTTTTTCTTTCTTCTTTTTAATCTCTCTGTGTGAAGTGGTTTAAAACATGAAGTTTTCTTAAAATCCAGATGAAACAAAGGCATGCTTGTTTCACATGAATGATTTCCTGAGCTTGCCTTTATTATCAAATAAATACTAACTTGGAAAAAAGCATCTGTCGGGCAAATTCTAGCTGAACGTGAAGATAAGAGTGGTGGATAATGGAACCAATTTGAGGACGCTGTTACAGCAGTGTCTCTTTTGTCTGTAAATTGGCTTCTCTGACATGAGGTGGAATCCTCTAGTCAGTTTGGGTTATCAGACATCTTGGTATTCATTGATAATATCCTTGGTAGCCTTCATTCTAGGAAAATCATTTTTAAAAAGGATCACAGCATAATTAAGTAAGAAATGCTACTTCAGTGTTTGCCAGCTCCTCCTTCCACTCTCCCATGCTACCCCTACTTAGTTAGGCATTTGATTACCAGCAGCTTATGTAAATATTTAGATTGCTCACTAACAGAAGACATGCATATTCCAGCATTTCAGTACTTTGTTGTTGTTAAGTGCCGTGGAGTCAGTTCCGACACACATAGGGACTCTGTACAGGGTTTCCGAGGCTGTAAATCTTTATGGGAGCAGAACGCCTCATCTTTCTCCCGCAGAACGGCTGATAGTTTCGAACTGCTGGCCTTAAGGTTCGCAGCCCAATTAGTAACCACTATGCTACCAGAGCTCCTTTTAGGGGATATTTTTTTTTTCTTAAATGTTTTATTGTGAATTATGTGATAGTTTACACGGGAGAACATTAGTTTTACATTCATTCTATCATATATCCTCTCATTGCCATGGTTACAATCCCCTCCATGCATCCTCAACCAACCAACCTGCAATCCTGTCCCCCATATCCCCCAGTCAGCACACAGTCCCTCTCCCTCTCTGGATCTAAAGTCCCCAGCTGCTCCATCCTCCAAGTCATCGTCTCTGCCTCCATCTCAGGCATCACTGCTTCTCTGGGTAGGGTCCCGCTCTCCACTCTTCTCCCTTGATGGTCCTAGGGACCTCTGCTCCTAGACTGGAAAGTTAATCACTCCCCTCCTTGCTATAAAACCTTTACATTTCCAACCCTCATAATCAGTCCTGATAACAATCATTCACTATTGTATAGGGATGTTTTTTCTTTGTGATCCTTGTCGGAGATGGATGAATAACTTATTCACTAAGAATGCAAGCCTTTCTCACCCAGGTGATCCTCCTAAGGCAACAGCAGACAGTTTGAAGACAAAAGGTGATTGACTGACTTACTACCAGAGAGAAGAAAGCTGTTTTAAAGAATAGCTGCAAGATGTCAAGAAACTGTGGTTCCGGAAGGAAGTCTTACTTAGGTCTTCCATTTGGAAATATCTACAAAGGTGCAAATCTCTGTTCATTTGTAGAATGAACACAGAATTACTATTTTAACCATCGAGCTTCATTTGTTTTCCTGACCAAAGCACATTCCCAGCCATTTGGCAATCTGTGTGTGTAGTACTGACCACAGTGTGGTTTACTGTGGTGGTGTGTTGTGGAGTTGGTTCCGAGTCTTAACGACCCTGTTTAGGGTTTCCGAGGCTGAAAATCTTTATGGGAGCAGAAAGCCTCATCTTTCTCTCAAGGAATGGCTGGTAGTTTTGAACCGCTGACTTTGAGGTTAGCAACTCTACTCATAACCATTACGCTACCAGAGCTCCTTTTACTGTAATGGTTCTCAACTTTTTTACATGTTAAATTCTCCAAAATGAAAAAAAAAACAAATGAAATGTTTCCCTTGTGGCTAAAGGAAAGCACTGGAATCCTGGTGCGGTGCTGTAGGATAAGCACTATACTGCTAACCTCAAGGTTGGTGGTTTAAACCCACCAGTCGCTCCTTGGAACCCTATACAGTGTACCTATGAGTTGGAACCAACTCAACAGCACTTAATGATGACAAGGGAAGACACTGCACAAAGCAAGACAGGGAGTGGTTATTGTTAAGTGCCACTGAGTTGGTTCTGATTCATAGCGCTCCTGTGTAGGGTTTGAGGAGTGACTGGTGGATTTGAACCACCTACCTTGTGGCTTCTCCTCCAATGCTAGCTCAAAACTCCAAATGGAGTGGTTCTTTCTGTACGTCTTGGTTATCCCTTCTTCATCTTTCTAGATGACCTCTATGTCCCTAGCCTTAGTTTACACAAATATAACAAAAAAATAGTAGACGTCCAGGATTTTGACAAAATCTGTCTCTAGATAAATTCAAGGGAACACACATTCTTGATATTGATAACTTATCAAAATCATTTGGTTATGAGCAACAAAATCACTGCTAGCCAATAGAATTTCTTATTCTCAGAGTCTTCTTTCTTAATGTCTGAGCCACAGAGAAACACAAACCCAACAACATTTTCATTTTTCCTTCCAGATCAATTCCCCTTAGAGATTTTTCCATTAACATTTGATGCACGATTTTCATTTTCCCTAAAATCTGTATCTGGAAGTCTTCCAAAATTTTAGGAAGTAGATTTTACTAATTTTTTTGTACGTTTTTCACCCATTTCATCATAAAGTTTTTCTCTTGATCTTTCTGAGCAATCTTCTGCCACTGATGGAAGGATCTGTAAAGCTTAGTCTATAGGAAAAAGCTTCCTGTTTCAAGGCCAGTCAATTTCTTTCTCCAGATGGCCTTCAGCAGTCAGCCAGCTACCAACTGTCCTCTCATTACTGCCTTTTGTTGGCTCCCTCCAAAACATTACTAACAATCCCTGACTCTCCAGTCACTGGGCTAGATCCCAGGCCCCTTCAGTTTTAGCTCTTCTGGCAGTAGTCCCTTCTTTGGGGAGGACCTGGAGATGAAGCTAACACTGGGCTTCAGTTATGGAACAAGTTGATATTTGCATTCACACGGGGCTTCCAAGCAGTTGTCTGGAATAGTCATGAGGTTGTACTTCCTTACTCGGGCTTGTGGCTTGGACATTTATTTAGTAAGAGTTCTGAAAACAGCATTTCACGTGATCAAAGAAGAGTCTGTTCGACCTTGCTGTGGTGTTTGAAGGTGATCCATGTATGTGGTCTTTGCTGTCTTCTCTGCTGACTGGCCCTGAGTCATGAATAGACAGAAAATTGGGAAGCCCTAAGGCCTTTCACTCCATTCTCCGGATCCCTGGGGTTAGACATCAATTTGTTTCAAATGTGAATGGTTGATATCACAGTGGGTGTTAAGCAAATGTACAATATACAAATCTGCAAGGTGGTTGTTGTTGTTGAGTGTCATCAAGTGGGTTCTGACTCACAGCGACCCTCTATAGAGTTTCCAAGGAGCAGCCGGTGGGTTTGAACTGCCAACCTTGTGTTTCACAGCTGTTCCGTGGGAGAAAGTTGAGGCTTTACAACCTCGGAAACCTTTATAGGGTCGCTGTAAGTCGATATCGACTCAAGAGCACTTAACCACACCACCATGTGTAAGGGGATAGGATTTGTACAGAAATGAGACGTTTTAGCAGAGTGGATGTTATTGTTGTTGTTAAGTGCTGTCGAGTAGGTTCCGCTGACCCATAGCGACCCTGAACAGAGTTTCCGAGACTGTAAATCTTTACAGGAGCAGAAAGCCTCCTCTTTCTCCCGCGGAACGGCTGGTAGTTTGAAACTGCTAACCTTGCGGTTTTGCAGCCCGATTCGTAACCACTACGCTATCAGAGAGTGGATAGTAAAGTATTAAAGAAAACATTTGTTAGAAATTTGATGATAGTCTAGGAGTGCTGGTGTGGCACTGCAGGTTAACATGCTGGACTACAAACCGCAAGATCAGCTGTTCAAGCTCACCAGCTCCTCCTCGGAAACACTGTACAGGGTCGCTATGAGTTGGAACCGACTCGACGTCACTTAACAACAACAACAATAACAACAACATTAGGAGTTCTGGTGTGGCGCTGTAGGATAAGCATTGGATTGCTAACTACAAGGTCAGGGGTTCAAACCCTCCTCAGGGTAGCTCTGAACTAGAACCGACTTGAAGACATTTAACAATAACAACAACGTGCAAAAGAAAAAGGATGAAAATGGACATTTTAAAAAAAGAGAGGAAAAAACAGGGATAAGAGAGTAGCAAGTCCGCTATCAGGACATTCCATCCTTTGATTGGAAGAAAGGAACTCATTCCCCATTTCCTGCCAGTTGCCAATGGATATAGCTATGCGTTTTATAGTTCCAAAGCTGCCTTTTCTGACCAGCCCTCTCTCAGAAAACCAGTTCGTCACAGATGAAGTTAAATCCAAGAAGTTTTAGCATCACCTACCTCCACTCTTTGACTCGGGTGGGGAAACGATGGGAGCCAGAGAGAGCGGTTGCAGCTCTCAGCCCTTCCAGGTTTGCAGCCTGCAAACCTCGAGGGCAGGCTGTGCGGGGGCAATTCTGCCAACGCACCGCGGTCAGCACTGTCTGCGTGCGCGCATGAAGCCCCGGAACCCTGGGCCACCGCGCGCGCTCTCCACCTTGCCTGCAAGACTCCTCCTCCACCTGCGTCAGACGACGTGGGGCTGCTGTCCGTTCCCTGAGCCCGTCGTGGGCTGGAAGAGGGAGAGGAAGGCAGCAGGCCGGGCTACCTGCCTCGGGCCTGCAGGTTGCCCAGGTGGACTGTGAGGCAGTCGAGACCCCATCGCTGCCCAGGTGACTGAGGCGCGGTGGGAGTGGGTACTGCGGCCTCCGAAGGCTGGGTCGTGGGGCAGTCAGCTCTGGTTTCACGAGGTATGGTGATCGCGTCCGCCCCCGCAGGCCTGCACTCCTGACTGGACCCAGGTAGCGCTGCATCCGCTGCAGCTCAGCCTGGGTGCAGAGGCCATAGCACCGGGTCAGGCACTCGCCGTGGATACACATGGCGCAGGTGCCCACTTGGGTGAGCGCGTCGAGTGCGTCGAGCAGGGTGGGGGGGGCCTTGCTGAGTGCGCTCAGCAGGGCACCCAGGCTGCCTCTAAGGCCAGAGTTTGGGTTGGTCCTTGCTCGCTGGGTTCTGTGGATACGATCAAGACTCCGCCCTTATTATGACTTGTTCCACAAAGACATATTTACCTTTGATCTTCCTTACAAGGCTGATAGAAAGATTGGCTCTTTGGGCCAATAAATCTTCCCTAGATGCTTCTGCCATCCACCCAGCTGAAAGCTGGCAGAGGCCAAGATGTTCACTTAAAATTGAAAATGCTAAAACCATGTGAGATTCCCAAATTCAACAGTTACAGCATCAGTGTAATTCTATGATCTTCTTCCATCAGTTTCTGGAATCTCTTCTGTCACAGTTTCTTCTCATTGATGTTGGCTAATCTTTGAGGTTTTCCTGACCTTCCTTAAAACGTTTATGTGGGGCAATATTCCTATAAACTTGTTGCAAATCTTCAATGATTTGGGAAGCTATCCACTTGAGTTTTGTTAAAAATTTGTTATTAGTCCCGATTTCTGAAACTACTCTCCACCACATGGCACAAAAATCATCAATTTTTAAAAGGTGCCCTGATGAGACTAATAAAAAATGTATTAACACTGATTGCAGAGACATGTTTAAACATCTTTTGTTTGAAATAAACCTATGCATGTGTACTGGAACCTAGGAGCAATATTTTTTGACTCATTAGGTAAGAGTGTCACCATTGGACCAATGAATAACATCAGGATAAATGGAGAAAGGATTAAGATTAAAGTTGTCAAAAATTTCATTTTGTTCAGATCACAACCATCAACATTCATGGAAACAGCAGTGAAGTCAAAGGAACAATTTGCATTAGGCAAATCTGCTGTGCAATATCTCTTTAGTGTGTTCAAGAACAAAGATGTCAGTTTGAAGACTAGAGTGTGCCTGACCCAAATCATGGTATTTTCAATAACCTTATATGCATGTGAAAATTAGACAGTGAATAAGGAAGACTGTAAAAGAATTGATACACTGAGTTATGATGTTGGAGGAGAATTTACTGAAAGTACCATGGACTGCCAGAAAAACGAACAAATCTGTGTTGGAAGAAGTATAACCAGAATAGTCCTTAGAAGCCAAGATGGCCAAACTTCGTCTCTCATCCTTTGGCCATATTATCAGGAGGGACCAGTCCCTGGAGAAGGACATCATGCTTGGAAAAGTAGATGGTCAGCGAAAAAGAGGAAGCCCCCCAAGTAGATGGATTGGTACAGTGGCAGCAGCGATGGGCTTAAACATAGCAACAATGAAGAGATTGGTGTAGGACCGGCCAGTGTTCTATTCGCTTGCATAGAGGGTCGCTATGAGTCAGTACTGACTCAACAGCACTTAACAACAACAACAATATTAAAGCAAGGAGCGCTAACTTCCTATAGAATCGTGTCAGTGATTGCTTCAAAATCTCTTATTTGCCTGAGGCAAAAGTCCAAGCTTTATATATGACCACCATGTCCCTGTTTGCTTTGGGTCCTGCCTAAGACTGACTTGAGTTCCTTCTGTCTTTCAAACTATAGGCTCACCTCCTCTCATCAATTGAATCTTACCCTAAGTAGTCTTAGAAATTGATAACTGGCTATTCTCTTAACGAAAGGAGCCTGGTAGCGTAGTGGTTACAAATCGGGCTGCGAACTGCAAGGTCAGCAGTTCGAAACTACCAGCTGTCCCGTGGGAGAAAGATGAGGCTTTCTGCTCCTGTAAAGATTTACATCCTCGGAAACCCTGTACATGGTCGCTATGAGTTGGAACCGACTCCACAGCACTAACAACAACATTCCCTTAACGAGGCTGAGTGAGCCCTATTTAGGACAAGCCACAACATTTTAATGGGAGATATGGAGAAGATTTAAATAAGAGATACACTGTGTTTGTGGATAGGAAAATGAAATACCATAAAATGATTGACTTTCCCCAAATTAATTTTTTCCCTAAATTAAATTCCCAATCCCATTCAAAATATCCAAGTCTTGACAAAATGATCCGAAGTTGGTATTGTAAACAGGCAGTGCTAATTGAAAAATTAAGAAAGAAAAAATGAGAGGTGACTTGTCCTGTGAACTAGTATCAAGCTCACCAGTTTCTCCTTGGAAACCCTTTACAGGGTCTCTATGGGTTGGAATCCACTCAACTGCACTTAACAACAACAACAACAAAAAAAAATGTAAATAGTCTGATATTTGCAAAAGAAAAGACAGGACAGATTAGATAGTTCTGAAACCAATCCTCATATAAATAGGAATGAATGTAATAAAGAAATCACCACAAGTTAGCGGGGACATGGATAGTTAAGCAAAAAGTATGAGGTTTTACTGTCATATATATATCCAAGAGAATTAAAAACATTTATCTGTACAAGAACTTGAACATAAATGCTCATGGCAGCATTAATCATAATACGCTAAATGTCCAACAACTGCTAAACGGATAAACTGTGGTTTACCAAAATTATGGAATATTGTTATTGTTTGTTGTTGGGTCCATTCCAAGCCCTAAGGACTCTATTTTTGTTGTGAGGTGCCTTTGAGTGGGTTCTAACTCATAGCGACCTGTGCACAACAGAATGAAACACTGCCTGATCCTGCTCCATCCTCAAAATCATTGCTGTCTTCCAGTCCACGATTGCATCCACTTGTCTGTCCATCTCACAGAGGGTCTTTCTCTCTTTTTTTTTTTTTTGCTGACCCAGTTTATCAAGCATGATGTCCTTCTCTAGGGACTGGTTCCTCATCATAACATATTCAAAGCAGGTAAGACAAAGTCTCACCATCTTTGCTTCTAAAGAGGATTCTAGTTGTACTTCTTCCAAGACAGATTGTTCTGTTCAATATTCTTTGCCAGAGCTATAATTTAAAGGTATCAACTCTTCTTCAGTCTTCCTTATTCATTATCCGGAATTTGCATGCATATGAGGCAACTGAAAATACCATGGCCCCTATATTGTTATTGTTGACAGGTGCTGTTGAATCAGTTCCAACTCATAGTGTCCCTGTGCACAACAGCATGAAACACTGGCTAGTCCTGTGCCATCATCTTAATTGTTGTCATGTTTGAGCCATTGTTGCTGCCATGGTGTCAACCCATCTCATTGGAGGTCCTCCTCTTTCAATGGCCTACTACTTTCCCAAGCATGATGCTCATCTCCATAGACTGGTCCCTCCTGACGTGTCCAAAATATAAGGAACCAAGTTGTACCATCCTCCCTTTTCAGGAACATTCTGGCTGTACTTTTCCCAAGACAGATGTGTTTATAGTCCTCTGGAGGTGCATAGTACTTTCAATATTCTTCTCCAAAACCATAATTCAATTGCATCAATTCTTCTATGGTCTCCCTTAGTCACTGTCCTTCTTTCATATGTAAACGAGACCATTAAAAATACCATGGCTTGGATCAGGTTCACCTTAGTTCTCAAAGTGATATCTTTGCTTTTTAACACCGTAAAGAGGTCTTTTGCAGCAGATTTGTTCAATGACATAGGTTGTTAGATTTCTTGAGTGCTGCTTCCATGAATGTTGACTGTGGATCCAAACAAAATGAAGTTGTTAACAACTTCAATCTTCTCTCTGTTTATCGTGATGTTATATATACCCTCCAGTTGTAAGGATGTTCCTTTTCTTTACTCTGAAGTGCAATCTATACTGAAGACCCCACATTAGCCAGCCATAAAAGGAAGAAGTACTAATTGATGCTACAATATGGTTTAAACTTGAAAGCATTCTGTACTAATGAAAACAATAGCACATTATGCTAAATGAAAGAAGCCACATGCAAAAGACCACACATATTGATGATTCCATTTATATAAAAGATCCTGAATAGGCGAATCCATAGAGACAAAGTAAGGGACTGGTGGGAGGTGGGACTAGGGAGTAACTAATGATTGATACGGGGTGATGAAAAACGTTTTAGAATTAGTAGAAATGGTTACATAGCTTTGTGACTGCAATAAGAAAATACAGAATGATATATATATCTATATTTTAAGTTTTTATTGTGAATTGAGTGACAGTTACAGGGCAGATCATCAGTTTTACATTCAACAAATCATATACTTTGTTTCATTACAATAATTATAATCCCCTCCATGGACCATCAGTTAACAATATTTCTCTCTATTCATTTTAGCTCTTTTTTTTAACACTCAGGCATATATAATAAATTACACCACCAAAGGGCACATTCTGCAAGCCTGCCTCCTGGCCACCAGCTCTCAGTCCCTCTCTTCCCATGAATCCAGAGTCCTTAGCTGCTCCCTCTCTCCATATCCTCATCTCTGGTGTCACTGCTTCTGAAAGCTTGTGCTCTTCTCCCTTAATGGTCTGAGGGTCCTCTGTTTATGGACTGTAAGATGAACTACTCTCTTGTTTTTGTTACAAAACGTCTACCTTTACAATTGTGACAGTCACAATTAGTCATGATAACTATTACTCACTATTGAATCCTAAGAATCGTATCCCCATCTTTTTATAACAGACCCGTCTAGATAAGATGAAAACTATTCAGTGGGGACACTTTCTTCCCCCACATATTCTTTTTTTTTTTACATCTCTGGTGTCATTGTTTCTCTGGGTAGGATCCTGCGCTCAGCTCTTCTCCCTTGATGGTCCCATGGACCTCTGCTCCTGGACTGCAAAGTCAATCACTCCCCTCCTTTTGCTACAAAACATCTACCTTTACATTTCCAACCTTCAGTCAGGCCTGATAACAATTATTCACTCTTGTACCACAAGAGACCTATCCTCATCTCCTTTCATCAGCCCCGCCCAGACAGATTGGATACTACTCAGTAGAGATTCTACCTTCCTCCGTGCCCTCTGGATCTAGGCTCCCTCTTAAAAGCTTGCAAGCCAGTCAAAAAATATGGACAGCTTCACTGATTTGTGTGTCATCCTTGGGCAGAGGCAGTGCTAATCTTCTCTGTATCGTTTCAATTTTAGTATACGTGCTGCTGAAGCGAGCACAGAATGATATAATTTTAAATTGTAAATTTTATGTTTTATGAATTAAGAGTTTAATAAAAAAGTACTGGAGAATTTGATTATCAAGAAAGTCA